GTCTTGGGAACTATATGTTCGCACAGTAAATAAAAAAAGTACAAGTGCCGGACACAGGTCTGAAGAGGTTAATACCCACTGCGCCGCATTGTAATTTGCGGGGCGAGGCGGCGTAACTAAGTAAGTCAACGACGATCTTTCGCAACGCTCAGCCTTATATTTCGAGTTCTTCACGTCATTATTTTAAAGACACCACGGCGAAATACCTAGATGGAATAGTTAATTGCCGTTTAATTATATGCGAAATCTCGATCGGCAATTTCATTGTACTGTGTCATTAACGGCTAGACAGTTAATTGCCGTTTAATTATATGCGAAATCTCGATCGGCAATTTCATTGTACTGTGTCATTAACGTTTAGACAGATGCATTTTGTAATCGTGATACTATCTACAACACAATGCATTTGAAAAGCCTTTTTTTTAATACATCGATCACGTAACACAAAAAGCGCGAGGATTATTGGATCGATCGAGTATTACAATGCAATTTGAAGGAGGTACTTGGCTGTATAGAATCATATTATCATACAATCATGTTATTATAGTGAAATATTACAGCGTAAAAAATTTGAAAAACATCTTTCCTAGAAAATATGTATAATAAAAAATAACAAGCGTCAACCTACCATTAGTTAATTTTAATTTCTCTCCGTATAATGTATTTTTTGGTACAAGCGAAATTTCACTTTCAAACTTCTTCAAAATAAAGAAAAGTTCTCTTTCCTAAAATATCTTGTATTATAAAACTATTCGGTAATAAAGATGTTGAAAAGTATTCTGAATTTTTCCTTTTTTTTTGAAAGTCTAGAACAATAAAAAGCAGATTGCAGACGGAAGGAGTAAGATATGATTGCAAACGGAGAGTTAAATCTAATTTAATCGCGAGAACAGTTGTTAAAAAATGTTAAAAATTACAAACTCACGACAATTAGCGGTTTGTTGCAACACTTGCCGCAAAAAGAATGCCGGCTGGAGATTCAACGTGACCAACAAGGACGTTCAATGATTCCGCGACATCCTATAAGGTGTGTTTCGATAACAAAGCTAATTCTTATCCGAAAGATAGCTCAATCGATCACTGCAGGAATGTCAATTAGAATTGTATCGCAATAGTAATATCGCATATGCAGAGTATTCTAAAATAACTGAATCATCTCTAATGAGCAGATACATCAAATGCAACTTTCTTTCGATACGCAAATCGATTCTTAAAACATTATATTAAAATTTACTGTTTAGTGTCGTTTGCAAAAACTTGAAGTGCATCTTGCTAGCGGAAACAAGGCGATATCAATATGTAATTGCCCGTTTCTGAACCATGAGTAACTAGACTGCATCTGATCAGCGAAAGCGATTTCTCATTCGCACGTTTTTATTTTTATTTTTTTTTTAACAGTTCAGAACGCTTTCTCCTATCATGAAATTTAAGAATAATAAACTAAATATAATAATTAGATGGTAATTTTAAAAAAAGATTTGTAAGCTAGAAAAACATTCTGGATTAAGTATAGGCATACAAGCGATACTGACTTACTTTTCCCATCGATACAGAGTTGGTTTAATGGCATTTTTGTTGTTTGCACAATCGCTTCTTCGCATTACTCGACGTATGTAATGTACGTAGGTCGCTATCGACTAGCTTTCATCGGTGACGTAAGTTCCGGCATTTACTCGTTTTCAGGAAGGAAAGACTCTCACCTCTTCAAGTGTAAATTGTTTCGAAACAACTTGAATGAACGAAATGATCCACGAGAAATGATTCACATCTCAAGATTGGTGAATTTTGCAAATTATCAGATTCTTCCAGAAATCATAGCTAAAATAAAATGGATAAAATTATTAATATCATTTTTAATTTTATAATTGCATCATGTTCCTTCTTCATTTTTAATTTCTATACCAATCAAATATGTGCATTTTGATTATACAATTTTCCTCATAAATCTATCATCTTTGATTATTGCGCGATCCAATATAATAAATGATTAACTTCTGTCGCTTCATTCAAATTAATGAAAGTGAAAAAGAGACATTTAAATGAAGTTGAGTGAAAAACACATTCGATAATTAACGGAGGCTTTTGCAACAAGCGTAATAAAATGTATCTCGATAAACCTAGTTCTCAGAGTAATATTCTGGAAAGTGATGCGTGGGTATAAAGAGAGAAAAGATCTCAAGAAAACTGTCGAGCGTGCAGTGCTGCAGCAAAAGTAACAATGTTCCCTGTAAAGCGAGCATAAACTTATAAAAATAAATTCTAGGTCGCGTAAGATTTGTATCTAATGTCTGTTAGACGCTTCAGCGCACGGAAAACCAACCAAACAACTTCTTATTATAGAACCATATTTTTTTTACCACATATAATAAATCAATAATACATTGTGTATTAAAAGACGTAGATATAAATATTAGCACTCAAACTTTTAATTGGCAAAAAAAAATAGTGACCCCTCCTAATAAATTGTGGGAACGTTGTACAATAATGACGTTATAAATTAAAATTCCAAATTTTATGCAAGATTTTATCATATGATTATTAATTTTTATTAAGTTTTCTTTTCGAGGCTGATAGTTTACAATATCTTATCAGAAGCTATTTAAAGAACCATTTAAATAAGAATTCATTTGTTCAGTCGACGAGATAAATAATAATCGTATACATATTATTAAATGTTCCAGATGCTTAAGATTATTCATAATTATCATAATTTATGACATTGTAAATAAATAATCGTGGGTACGACGTTTAATCCTACATAATCAGTAAAAAATGTTGCTAAATAGACATTTAAAGAGGATGGAAATACCTACAAACCGATAGATAGTTTAATCATCATGAGAAAAAAAATTAATTAGCATACGAAGGCGGAGAACTTTGTTACTTTTTTTTTAGTTAATTATACGCGATAAATATAATAGTGTATGGTAACATCCAGCCATTTCCGATAATGCTGCTCTTGATAAGACAAACATTCATTAACAAAAATATTATTTTAGTACTAATCGATATTATTTATTACACCACATTTCCTTTAATTGCCTTCATAAGAAACTCTTGCAAATGTCTCCTCTTTCCCGCTTTGTCGAAATATTATTATTTATACTAATTATGTATATTTATATTAATAGAACACATCAAGGGCATCCTTTTACAAATGGTTTTGAATAAGAAATTATTTAATTTCGTGATTGGAAAGAAACGACTCTATCTTGTGTATATTCAAATGAAAACTATATATTAAATGTTTTTTTTTTCCATATTTGTTCCGAGTTAAATATTTTTTTAAATTTATGTTTTAGAAAATCAAATTTAACATTATATTCTCCAAAACAAAATAACTCTTTAAATAATTTTTTAATTTAATTGCTACTAAATATCAAGAAGATGAGAAAGTGAAATGTAACAAAACAGTATAACATACAGTGTAGCAATTAAAATTGTTTCTTGCGTCTTAATTTTTTAAATAATTATTTATATTATACACTACTGGAGAGTAGCCTAATAATTTATAGACTAATTCTTCATAAATTTTTTCTAACTCACTGTGTTTTCGTAAAAGGAGTTTTTTGGGCTTCGGATTCGAAAATTATATTATTGTCTCATTGGCGCATGTAAACACGAACTTCAGTTTTCACCGGCGAAAGGAATAGAGAAAGCCGACGCTTTGACTTCTTGTCGTGCTTGACAGGAGGACACGGTAATTAGATGAACTACGATTTCCTTCGACGGACATCTATCGCAAGTGTCGTCAGATTGTGCGACAAAAAAAAAGAAAAGATAGATTGCCATAAATATTTCTTCATCACTTCGCTATCGATTGGACGGCTACAAAATAGTTTTTATTTCTTACGTAGATGTCTGAAGTGCAAATCTCAACTGCACAGAAATTTCTAAGAAATGTATTATATGGCATGGCAGGCCTCTCTTTTCGATTGTCTTGGCGACGGAAACTTATTCGCGTGTAAGCACGATATGGATTAATGAAATGGAACAGCTTGATGGAGGTCGACCGGTATCTTGCATGCGCTGCCGGTTCCTTTCCACAAGAACAGATCAACAAGTGCAAATCAATGCGTGGTTATTCTTTGACGTATTTCTCGAGCTGCTGATCCTGTTCTGAAAGATGAAGAAAAAAATTAATTTATACTGTGATCAGTTTTGAAAGGATAAATAAACTTGACATTCCATCGATATCGAATTCATCAATGATCGCTTGTTTCTCAAGAATATTTTCTTACTGTAGGTAACATATGTATAAAACAGAAAAAATATTTAAATTTTAAAATATTTTTAGATGTTATATGGGAGTTTATTATACATATTTAAAAAAATATATATTATTTAGAAAAAAATGTATTTTTTAAATTATTTTTTTGTCTGATGTAACATCAGAAAAGATTGAAATTATTTAAATAATGTGAGATTGAAAGGTTTCTTCTCATTTCCAGTTTCTTGTTTTGGAGTTAATGCGATTTGGAATTTGGAATTTAGGTCAGCCACTCATTTCTTTATTGCGTTTCGATCGACTCCGCCATAATAGTTGGTATCCAGATGTAACCGTGTTCAGAGATAATTAATGCTGCTTCGTATTGAAAAGAGATTTGCGAAACGACATCCCCTTCTCCGTTCTTGTGCGTAATGAAGGTATCTTGTAATTCTCTCGTTGTTCATCATATTGCATTTTGCATTATGGTTTGCGTGCGGAAGAATTGCGAATTTTTCATGGACTCAGAGAATGCATCGTGTACTGCGATATAATGCGGCAAGTTGTTACAATGTTTTAATTAGAAGAAAATAACTTAGAATAAAAGAAACTCGGTTCTGTGTGTTCTTATCTGTGCATGAATTCATACAATCTTTAGGGATTAAGTAGCTGATGTTTTAAGGTGTAACATTAGCATTTTATATATTCAGAATTCGCGAGTACATCATTCGACATAAATAATTATATTCATCACATCTTTTTATTACATGCAACGAGACATTTATTTATATACAATATTTATTTATACTCATCGCATAGTCATATTATACGCGCGATACTACACGAATGGACGCGTATAACATGCAAATATATCGACTTCTTAAATACCTATATATAATATATGTAAATCCCTATTGTAACACATATATATATGCAAAGGTTTTTACATAACTTATTTTAATTTATACTTCTACGCTATACAAATTATCGATTGTTAGGAAATTATCTATCAATCTCGCCGAATACAACATCCAGCGTGCCAATGATAGCGACTATGTCGGCGAGGAAGTGCTTGGGTCCGATGTGCTGTAGACACGCTAAATGAGCGAAGCCTGGCGCTTTGATCTTGCACCGATACGGTTTGCTGCTGCCATCGCTAACGAGGTAAACGCCGAACTCGCCCTTCGGTGCCTCGATGGCGGTGTACGTCGCTCCCGGTGGCACTTGGAAACCTTGGGTGAACAATTTGAAGTGATGGATAAGCGCCTCCATGCTGCTCTTCATCTCCTCCCGCCGCGGTGGCACAATCTTGGCGTCATCGCATCGTACTTCTCCCTCTGGCATCTGATTCAAGCACTGGTGGATGATACGCAACGACTGTCGCATCTCCTCGACACGACATAGATATCTGAAAACAAGGGGAATCGTGCCAAATATGTTATAAATAATATTTAAGAGTTACATATATTGTACAATGCCATTTTTCATTCATTTAGATTTTTAGATAACTCTTTTGTGTATTATTACTGATATAGAATGATACATTAAGTATAACACTATCTATATTCAGTTAGAATACCCAAATTTTTTTCTTTTGATTTCTAATTTTGATCACTTGTTTAAAGCTTGTTATTTTTTTTCTAATTCTTAGGGAACTATTCTGTAATTTTTAACGACTGTAATGATATTATTAAATTGTCATTGCTAGTAGATTTTGTATATAATAAAACAGTTGCACAACAATAATGTAACGATATCGTTACAGTCGTTAAGAGTTATAGAATAGGTCTCTTAAAATTAAAAAAAGGTAAAAAGTAAATCAAACTGAATTAAAGTTAATCTACATTGGTAGAAACAGATATTAGTAATCTTGTTTTCCTATACATTTTAATACCTTTTTTTAACTATATAATTCAATTCTCGTCTAGACCTACCTGTCATAGCAATCGCCTTTTGAGCCAATCGGAATGTCGAAATCTACTAAGTGGTAAGCGTCGTAAGGTGCAACTTTCCTCAGATCCCATTTTAATCCAGAGCCTCGTAACATTACACCGCTAAAGCCCCAATTTAGCGCGTCCTCTGCAGTCACAGTACCGATATTGATTGTGCGCTGTCGCCAGATTCTGTTATCTGTCAACAGATCTTCTATCTCGTCCAATCGTGCAGAGTACTTGGAAGCCCAATCGTATATGTCATCCATCAGACCTAACGGTAGATCCAAGGAGACACCACCAGGCCGTATGTAAGCTGCATGCATACGGGCGCCACTCACACGCTCATAAAACTCCATCATCTTCTCTCGCTCCTCGAATAGCCAGAAGAAGGGTGTAAGAGCACCGACATCCAATGCGTGCGTTCCAACGCCCATAATATGGTTCAGAATCCTCGTAATCTCCCCAAAAAGAACTGCAGGCAAAAAATTCTATCAGACTTGGAGAGCCCTTGAATCACAGGTTCGTAAAAATATAAATCAGACTCAGTTTTAAATCACAAATTATTAATTATAGTGATGACAATTATATTACGCGTACTAGTTAAATTTTAAATTGTAAGTTACATTAACATTGCAAATGTCCTGATTAGGATTGAAACATTTGTTAGAATTTGCTTATTTTTTTTAATAATTCACCATTAAAGACCTTGCTCGACTCCTACCCTTACATTTTATTGTTTTAATTTTGAAATCATTTAAGTCTTTTTACTATTTAAATTTTTCATAAAAAAATATATTTATTCCAACAAATTCCACAAATCTATTTTCTGTAAATAACTAGTATAGACTTTAAAAAGTTTAAAGTAAAATAGATGTGTTTGATACTCTTGGTGAAAGCAAGAAACAGTTCTAACAGAAGAATAAAAACAGATTTCATGTTATTCCAATAGAACAAGATTACGCATTGCTTTTACCTCGAATATACTTTGCGCGCAGAGGCACGTCTATATTCAGCAGTTTCTCAATTGCCAAGGAGAAGCACTGCTCGTTGCACATCATAGAGACATAGTCCAAGCGATCGAAGTAAGGTAATGCCTGCATGTAGGTCTTATATTCGATCAATTTCTCTGTGCCGCGGTGCAGGAGACCAATATGTGGATCGGCACTGACCACGACTTCGCCGTCTAACTCCAGGATCAGCCGGAGGACACCGTGAGCAGCTGGATGTTGCGGGCCAAAGTTAATCTTCAAATTTTGTATAGTTTGTTCCGCCAGGGAAGGATCAGACAAGACGGACACACTATCCGGCGGTGTCCAATCGATCTTCTCCGTGGTGTACAAAATCGGTGAGTCGAACTGCCGGAAGAACTCCGCGTCCGGGTTCCATTGATGACCATTACGATGTTGGCTGCAAAACATGTATTGTAAATAGAGTCCATCACGTCGTATGGCGAACAGGTTATATCGTTATATAACGCACATACGCGATTAATAACACAGCTACGTTTAAGCGCAATTAATTTTACTTACACATTAGTGATTGCTGGTGCATTATTCGGCGCCAGCAACCTGCCAGTGCCGAAAAATCCTGCGTTTTTACGCAAGATCGAACCCAACACTCTGGCTGCCATGATGCTCACATTGCTCACTGCTCACATCTCACATCACGTCAATGCGATCAATGCGACAGCGGCGGCTCAGTCGGTATAAGGTTTGATTTTGTCAATCACTCTTTATCCTCTTTATGATCAAACAGAATTCAATTATTTTATTATATAATTTCTCTTAACTACAATTAGTTTTCCAAGCAAAACAACAGGTCACAATAATGTCAAGACAAATCATGACTGATCGAAAATGACTTTTAATAATCACTTTGAAGTTATTCGCACTGTATCATTTTGATGTCATGATGATAATATAGCTCTATTTTAATTTTTATTATTGAACATGATGTATTTCTTGTATTTAAAATAAAATAAATATATGTTTGAAATTTAACGAAAGTCAACAGTGCAACAATATAAAAATAAATATTTTTTAATTCTATTATATATGTATAGGATCCATATTTAATTGAATGAAATCTTAAGATCAGATTTATAAGACGATTTTAAATACAAAATTGAAGATACAAAGGTTTGCCCGTACCCAAGGATCACACAAAAGTCAACAAAAAATCAGAATGACTTTATTAAAACGTCAATTATAAAACAATCAAATTTTGTAACAAGAATCATCATTTTGACTTTCTCTCGACTAGGTGTGTTCCTTGGGTAAACCTTCGGCATTTTATCACGTAATAATGTGATTCTTTTACCTTGAATATAAAAATGGATTGTAAAGGATTAAATGGGATTTTTTTAGGTGTAATCAAATCAATTGTTTTTAAAAATCAATATTTCGCATCACGATACTATTTTTCAAAAGCAACATACAAGATAATATAAAATTTAAACAAAATAAATTATAATATAAATTATATATAATTCAGACGTACAATATTTGTATCCCGGTAAAAAATTTTTCATGCATAAATATGTATAAATACGTCTAAACATAAACACCCATAAATATTCATAAACATGTATAATTATATATGAAATATATACATTTCTTCTCAAACTTAATTTTTTCTAAAACAAATAGTGCGAAACTTTTTAATTATTTTTAACGTTTTCACATTATACTATCATTATTTCTATTACACTAAAAAGTAATTTTACAAAAGAAAAAAAGATGTATACGAACATATATGGACATATTTCATATATAATGATACATGTTTATATATGAATATTTATACGTGTTTATGTATGTTTATACATATTTATATATATTCATGCATGAAAAATTGTTTACCAGGTATAATTACATAAATTTATACATTTGTATTCGTATATCCATATATCGATAATTTATATATTTCATTTGCTATAAATAGAAGAGCGATGATCTTTCTCTCAATTCGCACATCTCGTTTTAAGCATTCACTTCTCCGAATCTGAATCATTTAAGTTTCGAGCGCGCGGATCTTGACCTTTGACTATTGCTTCTATTTGCGCCTAAACTTGAAATCCCGCGTCGCGAATAGGTGCTCGTTCGCAAAACGAGAAATCGCGGAGACAGTCGTTTTGTCGTTTCTCGTGAATATTTCAAACCGAGCTTGGAGAAGCGCCATGGAATTTCCGTACTTTCCGAGGATTCAGTGGTGTACAGTACGTCAGTTAACGCACTATTTTAGAATTACTTATAGGATACAATTTTAAGCACGCCTATATTCTCTTACTCGTCGTAAAGACGAATAACGTCCGTTTTTACTAATGTAGATTATATATAAACTAAAAAAGTAAAATTGAGTTTCCAATATCAATACTAATATAATGTTTTGTTTGCAAATTAGTATGCTGATCGTTTCGAAGAAGATCGGGACAATTTTCATAATTGCACTTACTGTCTTTTATGTTTTTGCCTGTTTGGCGATTCCTAAAAGACACGAAGACATTTTGTCTTAATTGATCGCAATACTTCGACATTATTCATGCAAATTTCCTTTGATTAGTCATTACTGTGATAAAGTTAAGAGAGATTCATTTATAACTGCGATAGCCATATTATAAAAATTTTTGATATAATTACAATTAGTTATAAATTAATCTCTTTTAACTTTATCACAGTAATTACTAATTACAGGAAATTTGCATGAATAATGTCGAGGTATTGCGATCAATTGAGACGAAATGTCCTTGTCTTTCAGAAATTGCCAAACAGGCAGAAACACAAAAGACAATAAGCAATTGAATATGAAACGGAATATGAAAATTGTCCCGATCTTTTTCGAAACGATCAACATACTAATTTGCAAACAAAGCATTATATTAGTATTGATGTTGAACTCAATTTTACTTTTTTAGTTTAACATTTCTTTTCGATCCGTCTTATTCTTTTATTAAATAATTTTTATTTTTGGCTTTCATGGGCTTTATTTAACGTAATGATTTTTATTTTTATTTGATTTTACTATCTAAATTAATTTTATCACACAAATTTATCTTAAATACCTACTTATGTGTTAACATTAATATTATTATTTTAAAAACTGAGGAAGTATTGAGAGACTTTCATCCGCTTACGCGAATCATCCGCACTCATTAAACCCGTACTTGCGCAGATGTATAGGAACCTCGAATTTCCTCACGGGCCAAGCGACTGCCAAAAGTTTGACGTAAGTCACGGTATTGAGGCTGCTATTTCGAGGATAGCGATGGTGTATGGATCATTGTTGCACCCACCAACATTCTGCACGTCACGGGGTCATATAATCGCACAACTCTTGCGAGCATGCAGCTGCCCTCATCAGGCACAGGTGGATTAACATTCCAATTTGATTCTCCTATATTTCTCTTTATTGTACATTGAATGTATATATCATCGTATATGCAAAGATACAAAAAGGTCAATCACTTCGCGACCGTTGAAAGAAATCCTCTTCAGCTATGCGGGGCGACGAGTATAACTTCGCTGTATATAACTTCGAGAGGTAACTCTACGTAAAATTTCCAGATTGACGATGCGAGAATGTTCGAGAATATTAGCGAAAAGCGCACACTGAAAGAAAAGTCTGGTAATAGCTACCAAATGTATTTGGTTTAGCAGTACTAGTGCAATATTTAGAAAATATTGCTAAACATGATAATAGTAATCAATCGTTCGGGAATAATTAAAAAGGTAAAGTAAACACATTTAGATACATTTGATTTTGATTATATTAATTGAACACATTTGGCTGAAATTATTTCACTAAAGCTTTAGTAACTATTATCTAGGACCGATTATTACTAGACTTTTTTCAGTGCAGAATCTTGGCCGTTCACGCGTTTGAGCAACGGAAATAACGTGTCTTGCATCACTTCTATCGCGAATGGTCTTCCCAAATAGGAAGTAGAGAGAAAGACATACATACAAAACGTACATTTGGTGACTAGAATCATAACAGTAGGCATACAGGCAAAATATATATGTATTACTATCTAAGCTTATATCACTTTTTATGCATCGTACAAAAGGAGAATACTAATTGCAAGTAGAAACAAAAGGTCATTGCCTCGACAACCTCGTTATTGTACTCGTTGAACTGACATAGACTCACAGTACTTTGTGCAAATACTTTATCTTCCGCATCTCCAGCAATCTTTAAAAAATAGATTTTGACTTCAATGCTATCGATTCCGATGTAGCTTCTAACGAGATAATACTCATCTTTTTTGTCTCAAGTCTATAATTTTGACGAGATTGAAGCTCTGAAAAGGAAAATAGCACTGGTCAGCATTAAATTAAAATTTTCTAATACCTTTTCCATGTAGCTTTAAATAATAAAAAAAAATTTTTATTTATTAAGACTAAATTTTTTTTACATATTATAATATTGATCGTCTAAAGTCTGCTTAAAATTATTTTCGAGCACCAAGCCCGGACATAGAATATAAAAACCTCGCAATTACCGAAAATCCAAGGAAGTACTTCGACATATAATATCATCTCTCCCGACAAACGTCTCGAACTTTAACTCTCGGCTAGTAGTAGTCATAAAGGAGGTAACGATGCAATGACTGCGGTAGTTGCAGCTTTCTGACAATTTTTGGTAGCTTCGTACCGCAGAGTTTGCGGACTATTAATCTCGCTTGATGGGTCAACGGTAGCGGGGTTTTAGCCGCCTCCATCACCAGGGCCTTCTGTGCGTCCGTCAAACTGCTGGACCGTCGTATCATACAGGGATCAAAGCTCTCCGCCGCTTCCAACAGTGCGCGTAGCAACCGCGGCTTATCGGCTGTATTCTGCAAGGAGTTGAGGATACCGTGTGGATCGCGAAACTGCGTCTTGATCACTACTCGGGCACCGTATTTCAGCAGCAACGCCACTATCTCCACCGATGGGTTCTCGTTAGAAGCGACGTACTCAGCGAGCACCGGCCTCAACGCCGGTCCATCGTCGCTGCGTATCACCAGGTTGGGATCGGCGCCGCGTTCCAGTAACATACATAGGATCTCTAGTCGGTTCGGGATGTTGTCCGCGCATGCCACGTGTAATGGGGAACCAATAATCGGAGAAGTGGCGTTCACGTCCGCGCCTGGAAAATAACAAACGAAAACATTCTTTTTTCTTTATCTGATCTTAATTCGATTAAACAATATTAATTCAATGAAACAATATTGAACAAAGAATTTCTTAAGATCGTAAATATGATTACGCAATACATATAGAGAATAAAAGCTGGATTAAATTATTATCACTACCCTTACAGAAATCTAATACTTAACCATCAATCCTTTTATACACGATGATTTTTCCTTCATTACACATTCTGTTCGTATTCCGGATTAATTTTCATCACTTTTACAAGTACACAAAAATTATTAAGTGAATCTTACAATACTTTAATTGACATCTATAAAAAGTAAGGTACAGTATTACAAAAATTGTATATAATTGTTATAACTAATTTCTTGGTGCTGCTAGTATTATATATACTATTTCAAATGAAAAAAACGCTCAGGACACGAATGTGATCTAATCGTGTGTATATTTTGAAATACTAATTAAAAGTATTGAAACAATTTAACATTTAAAATAAGCAATTAATTACTAT